TGGAGATATTACATTTGGTTCCCTCATCTAAATCACTGTGAATATATTGTGAAGAGCTTTGATCCTAAAACTGATTCTTGCCATTGAGAAAAAGATCCATGCATTCCCTCTGTGTGTTTCCTATTATCCAGCTCGTTCTTTTTAAATCATTCTGAATGCGCTGCACCAATCCCAGTTCCTTGATGTTAACTGCTAATATCTTATGTGGGATTTTGTTAAAAAGTTTTTGTAAATTAAAATTAACACCTCTGCTTTATCATCTCTAATCCAGTCGATTTGTCAGGCTGGGAACATAGAACATTACAACAGAGGAACAGATCTTTCAAATCCATGCTGACTCTGTCTGATCCTGACAATTTATCCCAATTATCTGCAATAAAATCTTTTTTTTTCCCCTGGTCTAAGATTCCAAGTTTTATCTCTCCACTCCATTTTCAAATAGATTGCTTACATTAGCTACCCTCCAATCTTTGGAAATTATTGTAGCACCTATAAAGGTTTGGAACATCACCAGCAATACATCCACTATTTCTAAGAGCTCTGGGACATAAATTATCAGTCACTGGTATTTCCCAGCCTTCAATCCTATCAATATTCCCAACACAATTTACTGAATAATACTGACTTGATTCAGTTTCTCCCTCTCACTAAACTCTGATTTCCTCAACATTCCTGGTGTGTTATGTGTGTCGTCCTGTGTGAACAGAGAACAACAGTAAGTATTCAGTTGGGTAGCCATTTTTTATTCCTCACAATGGACTCCCCCCTTTTTGATTGTAAGTGACGTGCATTTGTGTTTACCAACCTAGTTTTATTTCCAACCTCCTTTTACATATTTATCAATACATTAACAGTTAGTTTTTAATGGCTTCTGCAAACTTGCTCTTTTCCACATTTTCTCATTCATAATCAATGCATTTGTTTATTCCTTCTTTCCGAATTTTGAAATTTTCCCCAGCTTCAGGGACTTTTATTTTCTTTCAAGTTCTTTTTCTTCTCAATTTGTACGCCTCTTCCATGGATCAAAAACTATGTTAAATAGCCCTCTTACACGACAGTTTTGTAAACTGTAAAAAGAGCACCTTCCATACTCACGAATACATCCATTTAAAAGGATTTGGGCATCCGATGTGGAGGAACACTACCTTGATAGAGGGCAAATTCCCATCCAAGCCACCCACCATCCTAACTTAGAAATATATCCCCTTTCCTTCACTGTCGCTGGATCAAGACTCTGGAACTCCCTACTAACGGCAATGTGGGCAGTACATGGATACAACTGTTCTTGAAGGCGGCTCAGCACCACCTTCTCAAGGGAGGAAACTAGGGACGGG